GGGTCCCTTTAAGCACAGCCCTCGGCTAGCCTGAGGCAGCAGCTCCACGCTCTAAGTCCTCATCTGATGCCCTGCCGGCACTGCTTCCGGCCATCCTTAACCCCGGTTCAGGGTCCACTTAATGTGGACATGCTAGTTCGAATTAGCAAAACGCTAATTCCAACTAGTTTTTTAGTCTGGATGCGTTAGTTCAAATTAGCTTAGTTCGAATTAACTAATTCGAACTAAGTTAATTCGAATTAGCGCTGTAGTGTAGACATACCCTAGAGGACACCAAATGAAATTAATGGGCAGCAGGTTTAAAACTAATAAAAGAAAGTTCTTCTTTACACAGCTCACAGTCAACCTGTGGAACTCCTTGCCAGAGGAGGCTGTGAAGGTTAGGACTATCACAGAGTTTAAAAAAAGCTAGATACATTCATGGAGGTTAGGTCCATAAAAGGCTATTAGCCAGGGGATAAAATGGTGCCCCTGGCCTCTGTTTGTCAAAGGCTGGAGAAGGATGGCAGGAGAAAAATCGCTTGATCATTGTCTTCGGTCCACCCCCTCTGGGGTACCTGGCACTGGCCACAGTTGGCAGACAGGATACTGGGCTAGATGGACCTTTGGTCTGACCCAATATGGCCATTCTTATGTTCTCTGCCTATATACTCTGCCTCTGCATCTGATGACAGATAAATTTGCACTCAGTTCAAACGAGCCTGCTATAGCCAGAAATGTCATACCTGATTCTCTCCCTCCACCTCCTCCCACGAAAGTGGCCAAGTCCTTCGTACCCTTGATCAGAGCAGCTTTCCGGCTTGCCACACTTGGGAAATCTACCTCATATACCACAGTGTGACTCAGAAGACCCACATCCTTGAGGCGGAAATACAGGGAGTCAAAGCCAGCACCGAAAGAGAGAATCTGCAGGAAAAAAAACCAAGAAATGTTATTTAACTCTGACAGAAGCCTGAGTATTTGCAGGGCACAAAGCACCAGAGTATCAAAGGGTATGTCTACACTACAAAGTTAATTTGAAATAACAGCAGTTATTTCAAATTAACTTTAATAGCGTCTACACAGGCAAACTGCTATTTCGAAATAAATTCAAAATAGTGGAGCCCTTATTTCGAATTTGGTAAACCACATTCTACGAGGAGTAACACCAAATTCGAAATAGCTATTTTGAATTAAGTGCTGTGTAGACAATTAATTTGAAATAGGGGGCCTCCAGCCCTTTCCAGGGAGCCCTGGTGGCCACTCTGAGCACAACCAGAAAAACTTACTCTCCTCTCCCCCAGCCCCGGAACTATTAAAGGGGTAGACCAGTGGTCCCCAATGCGGTGCCCGTGGGCACTATGGCGCCCGCCGGGGCATTTATGTGCGCCCGCCGAAACATCTGGGCTGGTCATGCCCCTGGCGCGCGGCACATGCATGGTGCCGGGCCAGGGCTCAGGTCGCATGGGCAGCTCCTGCCCCAGGCGCATGGCACATGTGCAGTGCCAGCCCCGGATGCAGGACGCGTGGGTGGTCCCTACCCCCCGGCGCACAGCACATGCGTGGCCCCACCCCCGGAAGCGTGGCGTGTGAGCAGCCTCACTCCTGGACGCCTGGCACATGGCCCGGCAGCAACAAAAGGTTGGGGACTACTGGGGTAGACCCTGGCCACAGTGCCTGTGCCAGCTCCAAGCCTGCCAGCCCAGAACCAAAAGTGAGCACAAGGGGAGGGAACAGGATAAGTATCTGCCCCAAACTATCAATTGTGACACACAGACTTTTCTGAAACAATATATTAGTGCTCAATCTGAAATGGTTGGACATCAGTAAGATAGGGTATGTCTACACTACAAAGTTAATTTGAAATAACAGCCATTATTTCAAATTAACTTTAATAGAGTCTATACATGCAAATCGCTATTTTGAATTTAATTTGAAATAGCGGAGCCCTTAATTCAAATTTGGTAAACCTCATTCTATGAGGAGTAACATCAAATTTGAAATAGCTATTTCGAATTAAGTGCTGTGTAGACACTTAATTCGAAATAGGAGGCCTCCAGCCCTTCCCATGGCTGGGCACAACCAGGAAAACTTACTCTCCTCTCCCACAGCCTTGGAGCCCTAAGCTTTCCCTCCCTCTTCTTCCCCTTGCTTCCCCCTTTCAGCTCCTTCCTCCCAGGTTTCCCCCTCTCCTTCCCACCCTCTCTCTTCCCCTCTCCCACCTCCTTTTCCTAATCTCCCCAGAGGTTCATTCCCCACCCCAGTTTTGTTCAATAAACCCAGTTTCTATTTTTGAACATACATGTCTTTTATTTGACATCAGGAAGGGAGGCTAGGGAGGGGTAAGTGGAAGAACATGAGAGAGGAATGGGGCACGAGCCCCCGGTGGGGAGGACTGGGGAGGGTCTGAGGGCTCCTCAGGGCGGACGCTCTCCCTCAGGGCCTCCTGGATCCTGACAGCCCCCAGATGGAGCACCCGAATGGCAGCCTGCAGCAAGTGCAGCCAAGCTGATGGCAATGACCCCACGAGACGCACCGGCGTGCCCAGGGGAAGCTCTGGCTCCATGTGGCCGAGTGCTGTGGTGTCCACTCACTGTGGACGCGCTATTTCGAAATAGCAAAACGTTATTTCAAAATAGTGTTTGTGTATAGATGCGTTATTTCGAATTAGCTTTATTTGAATTAACTATTTTGAATTAAGTTAATTCGAAATAGCACTGTAGTGTAGACATACCCTAAGTGCCAACATCCAGGGGCATTAGCCTCGCGTGGCAAAGTCCCATAACAGGAATAGGAACAATGCACACATGACTGTCCCGACATTGACCCATCTGTGCCTTCCTGGGAAGGATGCACAGAGAATATGACACCTGAGATGTCTCTCCAGACCCACAATGGGAGCTCAGCCCTTGCACTCCTCCCACAGAGGATTCACCTGTCTCCTGGGGTGACCTTGAGTCCGCAGCAGAAATTCTCGCACACAGTGATCCACAGCTTGGGCCCGGACATAGTAGCCCCTAGGAAACAAAATCCAACTGTTATACCCAGATTTCCTCTTTCACTCCAAAATACCACACTCCCCTACTGATGGGAACCTCACTCCCTTCTCTCAGAACCCATTCCTTTCCCAAAAGACCTCACTCGCCTCCTCCATTTCACACCTCTGCGATTCCCCTGTGCTGAAGAGGAGCATGCATAGCCCCTTCCCCCTACTCTAGCCCCTGAAGAAGAGCAGGCAGTCTGAAGCTTACTTCCTTTGCTGTCTCCAGCTGGTAACTGCCTCTGCTACTGTCCTTCCCTCCAAAGGCCAGCCCAGGCCTCCTGAGGACAGGAAGGGGCCAAGAGGAGAGTAGAGCTGGTGGCTGAGTGGGTGTGAGGTAAACCTAGAATAATAGAATACTAGAACTGGAAGGGACCTCAAGAGGTCATCAAATCCAGTCCCCTGCCCTCACGGCAGGACCCAGAACTGTCTAGACCAGTGTTTCTGAAAGTGTTCCGCAGAATCACTCTCAGAAACACATTAACTGGCCACCCCGGTTTGTTTATTTACTGGCACCGCGGCCACAGAGCCTCGCGGCTCCCATTGGCTCCGTTTCGTCCTTTGCAACCAAGGGAAACCGCGAGAAGCTGCATGCACTGGGCCACTGCTTCCCACGATTCCCCTTGCCTGCAAAAGATGATCCCTGATAGATGTCTATCTAACCTGCTCTTAAATATCTCCAATGATGGAGATTCCACAACCCTCCTATTCAATTTATTACAGTGTTTCACCACCCTGACAGGTAGGACGTTTTTCCTCATGTCCAACCTAAACCTCCCTTGCTGCAGTTTAAGCCCATTGCTTCTTGTCCTATCCAAAGATGACAAGGAGAAAAATTTTTCTCACTCCTCAACACTCAAATCTGTATGGAAACATTTTATTCTCCCTGGATATTTAGTAATGGATTTAAAAGTAGTCATCCTTCTACAAAGAATTTGATCATACAATTACAGAGGGAGACAGCTGAACTGGAGTTCATTTACAAGTTCAGTACTATCAACTTAGGGTCTTAATTGGTTAACACACTACAAAGGCAGTTTTCATGCCTTTTAATGTGTATCTCCACATCAAATCATAGAATCATAGAATAATAGGACTGGAAGGGACCTCGAGAGGTCATCGAGTCCAGCCCCCCGCCCTCAAGGCAGGATCAAGCTCCGTCTACACCATCCCTGACAGATGTCTATCTAACCTGTTCTTAAATATCTCCAGAGAGGGAGATTCCACCACCTCCCTTGGCAATTTATTCCAATATTTGACCACCCTGACAGTTAGGAATTTTTTCCTAATGTCCAATCTAAACCTCCCCTGCTGCACTTTAAGCCCATTACTCCTTGTCCTGTCCTCAGAAACCAAGAGGAACAAATTTTCTCCTTCCTCCTTGTGACACCCTTTTAGATATTTGAAAACCGCTATCATGTCCCCCCTTAATCTTCTTTTTTCCAAACTAAACAAGCCCAGTTCATGAAGCCTGGCTTCATAGGTCATGTTCTCTAAACCTTTAATCATTCTTGTCGCTCTTCTCTGTCCCCTTTCCAATTTCTCCACATCTTTCTTGAAATGTGTCGCCCAGAACTGGACACAGTACTCTAGCTGAGGCCTAACTAGTGCAGAGTAGAGCGGCAGAATGACTTCACGAGTTTTGCTTACAACACACCTGTTGATACAACCTAGCATCATATTTGCTTTTTTTGCAACAGCATCACACTGTTGGCTCATATTCAACTTGTGGTCCACTATGACCCCTAGATCCCTTTCCGCCATGCTCCTTCCTAGACAGTCGCTTCCCATCTTGTATGTATGGAACTGATTGTTCCTTCCTAAGTGGAGCACTTTGCATTTGTCCTTTTTAAACTTCATCCTGTTTACCTCAGAGTATTTCTCCAGTTTGCCCAGATCATTTTGAATTATGACCCTATCCTACTTAAGTCTCTTAAGTAAAATGGCCCATTCATCACAACTGGTGTTCTCCTCCCACATCTCCTAGTCTCAGCACCACACATGCCTATTCCCAGCTCCCAGCACAAACCTAGTCAGCTGTGCCTAATGCTGGAAATCAATGGGCCTCTTCTGGCACAGAACTGATCAGGACTCCCTGCCAGCCTCTTTGGTGTCATTTTCCTGACGACTGCTAGACCCTCCCACATAAGCCTGGCCCATTACTACCACACCACAGAAAAGGAGACTGGGGCTAAGTCTACGTTTCAAACATGAAAGCACTGCTGCAGAAGTGCTTTAAAGTGAAAGTACAGCCACAGCACCACATAAAGCACCAAACGTGGGGCGTGGCTCCGAGCACTGGGAGTTTGCCCTGCACTAACCCTTTAAGGGCAAAACCCCAGTCCTGAATGAGGGCTGAGAGGGAAGCCCCAGCTGAAGCAGTTCTGGCTAAGAAGAACCCACTGGGGGATATATAAAGAAGGGCTCCTGGAGAGAGGGGAGAAGTGATGGCTGCTCTGGAGAGAGAGCAGTAGGGACCTGACTGCCAGGGAAGCAGGAGGCTCCCTGGTGGTAGAGCAGGGCTGGGGAAGGCAGGCAGGGCTGGGGAAGTTCTGGCAAGCAAGCTCCCAGGCTGCAGGGCCTGAAGCAGCCATGGTAGGCAGGGGCACTCTGACGCACGACCGTGGCTGGGTTTCATAGGTAACCACGTGCACAGTCTGGTGTATAACGGAGGCCAGAGAATGTCTCCTGACTAGCCCTGTGCTGAACGTATCAACTCACATTTGGCCAAAGCATCTTCCAGATGGAATCCACTCTTTTCATAGAATCATAGAATAATAGGACTGGAAGGGACCTCGAGAGGTCATCGAGTCCAGCCCCCCGCCCTCAAGGCAGGATCAAGCTCCGTCTACACCATCCCTGACAGATGTCTATCTAACCTGTTCTTAAATATCTCCAGAGAGGGAGATTCCACCACCTCCCTTGGCAATTTATTCCAATATTTGACCACCCTGACAGTTAGGAATTTTTTCCTAATGTCCAATCTAAACCTCCCCTGCTGCACTTTAAGCCCATTACTCCTTGTCCTGTCCTCAGAAACCAAGAGGAACAAATTTTCTCCTTCCTCCTTGTGACACCCTTTTAGATATTTGAAAACCGCTATCATGTCCCCCCTTAATCTTCTTTTTTCCAAACTAAACAAGCCCAGTTCATGAAGCCTGGCTTCATAGGTCATGTTCTCTAAACCTTTAATCATTCTTGTCGCTCTTCTCTGTCCCCTTTCCAATTTCTCCACATCTTTCTTGAAATGTGTCGCCCAGAACTGGACACAGTACTCTAGCTGAGGCCTAACTAGTGCAGAGTAGAGCGGCAGAATGACTTCACGAGTTTTGCTTACAACACACCTGTTGATACAACCTAGCATCATATTTGCTTTTTTTGCAACAGCATCACACTGTTGGCTCATATTCAACTTGTGGTCCACTATGACCCCTAGATCCCTTTCCGCCATGCTCCTTCCTAGACAGTCGCTTCCCATCTTGTATGTATGGAACTGATTGTTCCTTCCTAAGTGGAGCATTCCTTCCTAAGTAGTTAGCCCCTGAGGCAGGGGCTAGATGGAGATTGGCAGTGGGTCACTGAGGCAAGGTGAATACAGGGGAACTGGGTGTTCTCTGGGAGGAGAACAAGGTGCCTTGGGGAGGGGAGGACCCTTGGAGTGCAAGCAGGATAAATACCAACCCCCGGAAGGGGGGCTCAGACCCTGGAGTGGGCACTGCCAGAGGGCAGTGTCCTGAAGAGTACGCGGAGGTCCATGAATGACACACATCGGGACTAGAGAGGGCAGCAAGAACACAAGGAAACACCAGCTAGAGCTGGGTTTCCCAGCCTATGGGTTGGGACCCAAATATGGGTCGCCATTACATTTCAAAAGGGTCGCCAGATGTCTTCCCCAGGTGGGTCTTAAGGAGCCATCCACACATATTTTGAATTGCCCTGGGTTAGCAAGTGTTCCTGAATTGTCAAAATGGGTCCCCATCTGGAAAAAGTGGGGAACCACTGAGCTAAAGGGAGGCATCCAGCAAGTCAACAAGCTAATTCCCAGAGCAACCGGCTGGAAGCGCCATGATGGTGAGTCTGCCCTGTGACAGAGTCCATTTACACGGGTGCTTGACAGCATTGTAACTTGCTACGCTCGGTGGGGGGCAGGGGTGGATTCACACCCTGGAGCAAAGAAGTTGCAGCACAGTAAGGGTACGTTTACACAGCAGCATTATTCTGAAATAACAAAGAGCATGTCTACACAGCAAGCTGTCATTGCGAAATAACATGGAGCTCAAGGACTTCTACTCCGACTCCTGTAACCCTCATTTCACGAGGAGTAAGAGAAGTCGGAGGAAGAGTGCTCTTCCTGTGACTTCCTGCTGTGAAGACAGCACCAAAAGCTGAATTAAGCTATTTCGACTTCAGCTACGCAACTGACAGAACTAAAGTTGTGTAGCTTAATTCGACTTTTGCCCTGCAGTGTAGACATGCTCCAGAGTGGCAGGATAGGCATGGCCTGAGAGCACTAACATGCATAGCACACACATCCCCCTAAAAGAGGATTTTAACTCCTTCTCTTTTGGTTTAAGCAGCAGTGTCTGTTCCCTGAAAGATATAAGTGAGTAAATTACTGAATGGGACTCACTCACAAAAAGTTATTGAAGGAATTAGCTGTAAGATGTGATGCTACAGTTTTAGAGAGCAGTGAGTTCTGAAATATTTCTCAACTGGGACAATCCAGTGATACAGTTTTTATGGAAATTACTAGCTTTCTTCCCTAGATCTGTGAAAAAAGTTATGCTATGATGGGGTGTCCATACCACATGAGCCCTGAGCATGGTAGCCTAAGCCAGAAAGGGCCAATTAACCTTACATGCTGCAGGAGAACCAGACACCTATAAGGTCTAAGGCAGATGAAGCCCAGCTGAGAGAAGTAAAAAGGTATAGGAGCTTAAAGCCAGGAAGTGTGAGATGGAGGGGATGGAAGGAATGACTTCTGTAGCAGGGATGTAAAATCCTGTTTAAAATGTTAACTGGTTAAACTATACGGGCGGGGGGGCTGCTCCGGCCCAGCTGGGAGCCAGTAAACCTGTTACCCGTAAGTATCACCCAGTTATGTTACCCATTTGCATCCCTATTCTGCAGTCACTCACTAGAAGGAAAGGGACTTGGCTAGGGTCAAAGAGTAACTCTAGAGACAAGATAAATCTTGGATTCTGATCAGCTGTTTGTCGGCTCTGCGCAGCAGCCATGTAAATTTAAATGAAGCGGCGACGGAGCCATGTAGTGTAGACGTACCCTAAGAGTCCCTGGGCTAAAACAAGGGTAGCAGATAGGCCCAGGCTCCCCTACCAGTCACTGTGAAAATGGCACACAACCTGGAGCTGGAACAGAGGAGTGCCTGGAATGACAGGAAGACAACTAGCCCAGTGGGACTTTTGTTATCTCAGAAATGGAAGATGTACAGTGACTTGGCCAAAGGTCAAGTCACAAAGAAGGAGCATGGAGTCTGAGAGGCCACAGTGCAAGCAACCAATGGAAATGAGTGTGAAATGGTAACAGACTAATTCTAGCCACGAGGAGGCATGCTTGCAGTAAGTAGAACCCCATTACACCATCTGAAAATTTTAAAATCCATCTTTATGGGGAGCCTATATTTCAGGAATGCTGTTGCCAACTGACACTACAATATTCATGCCCTCTTACTGCACAGTAATTTAGAACAATCTCACTGTGCATGTGGATCTTAGCGCACTTAATTACCTCTTAACATTGAGCAAAGCTTTCTATTCAACCCTAACAGTTATTAGTGCATTTCCATTATTAAGAAAAAGAACAAATAAGACTGAAAGCTGTGATTTACTGACGGTACAGCACAATGGGAGCGCTACTCACGAAATAAAACCCATCACTGCAACCCCCTCCCACAAAGTAACAGTAGCCTCTGCCAAAGGATAGCAAGCACCAAATCAAACCAGAACCCGTTCTCACCGATGGATCAGCGGCGCTCGTCTGCATCTGGTGGTAACAAAGTACTGCAGGAAGCCATCCTGGGTGTAGCCAAGAGCAGCGGTGGAGCATTTACTGACAACACTGCTGTCATTAGTGCCCTGGATCTGAACAGGGAACAAGAAGAATGACTGCTCGCTCACATTCACTCTGCTGACGCCAGCCAAGGAGTAGCCACCAGGAAACAGCTTCATCTAAACAGGGCAACTTAGATCCTTTCCTCTTTTAGAAACCAAGCCCTTGGGAGGCCCAGTGAGTTTTCCCACTGCCCAAGTGAAACATGCTGCCTGGCATCACATTATACACGTGGATGCACAATCCCCTCCCACCAGACCAATCACAGAGATTCACCAACAGCATATGTGAGGTCAGGAGACTAGAGCATCAGTGGCCCAACATGCCCTCCAAATCTGTGGCACAAAGAGTTCATGCAACATTATGCCATAGGCATGAGAGAGAGAGAGAGATCCTCTTTTCTTCTGTAAAGATGTGACAACTGCACTGGACAGGGAGTCAGTAATAGTGCTGTGACACTTCTGAACTATTATTAGGGAAGTTCAAAGTCAGTTGACTAGGTATCTGTGTAACTACTGAAAATCTCTGTAGGGATATAATAATGTGAATGAGTAAATGGTTACACACAGCCCACCCGCGTCCCCCGCACATGCTGCTACTATTAGAGGTGGTAGCGTGGAAAGGGGCAGGCGGGGGCCGGTGCTCATGTGTTGCCACAGAGTGTGGGGGAGAGGCAGGTGGCTCCATGGGAGCTGGCATGCGCAGGGAGCCACACACACCCCTCATGTAAACATGTACCTGCTGTACATGAATGTACAAAATAAATGAATGTTAATCTCTGTGGTTACATGGTTACACACTGCAGGCTCTGCAGTATAGAGCTTGCCTTCTCCTGCAGAACCTGAAGCAAAGCCTCCCTGCTCCTGGGGAAGCGGCTTCCCTGCTGCAGCGAAGCCTCCTCCCCAAGAGCAGAGCAGGTAGCCCTTGCCCACCTGGCTTCCAGGGAGCCAGCTGAGCATAACTGACACCATTAATCAGCTTATCGGTTAAATAGTTACACAGATAGGGTATGTCTACACTACAAAGTTAATTCGAACTAACAGCCGTTAGTTCGAATTAACATTCATAGGCGCTACACAGGCAAACCGCCAGTTCGAACTTAATTCGAACTAGGTAAACCTCATTCTGCGAGGACTAACGCCTAGTTCGAATTAAGTAGTTCGAATTAAGGGCCGTGTAGTCACTTAATTTGAACTAGTTAGAGGCTAGCCCTCCCCAGCTTTCCCTGGTGGCCACTCTGGGCACAACCAGGGAAACTTGGCTGCCCCCCTCCCGGCCCCGGAGCCCTTAAAGGGGCACGGTCTGGCTACGGTGCCCATGCCAGGTGCAAGCTTGCCAGCACCCAGCCAGCAGACCCTGCATCTGGCACGTCA